CAAGAGTTACGTCTCTTTAATTTAAAAACGCCTTTTGCATGACAACAATTATTACTTATTTGGTAAGTTTGGTACAGTTAAATGTTTTGTTTACGTCGTATTTGTTTATTACTATGTTATATCTGTCGGGAAGAGTCTATTAGTATGCTAAATTTAAAAAGGTAAGTTTAATTTCAATATATCATTAAGTTTAGAGATTATTTTGTACTTTGGGAAAGGAGATTATTTAGAAAAGGGGAAGTAATCCAGTAGATGGCGCTTCTCTTATCCATATATAAGCAGGAGAAGTCGCATTTTAAAATCACTTTTCGGATTGGAAAGCGAAGGTAACACTTCAAGCTATCCAGGAAGATAAACCGTGGGCATCGAAGTCCTATAAGTAAATCCCTTAAAAGCTCGGCTTCTTTGGGAATACAAAAGTAGGATAAATTGCTCTAGCTGCTGAACGTTGGCTATAGAGATCGTCCTATTTATCATAGAAGCTCAGCTTCTTTGATATTGGATGAACATCAATTGTATATATTATTTTGGTGAGGTGAACGATTACCAATCGATATAGAAGCCCAGCTTCTTTATTGATATTGGATGACTATAAGCTCGCATTAAGCTGTAAATATTGTGTGATTTTCATCAAGTGTTTTTTTTTTATTATATAGTTATTATATTAGTTTGTTTCTGTTCTTTATTATATCGTTCGTTTGTTCACCATATAATCAGTAATCATTACTTTGTCCAATCAATCAATGGTAAGGTAACCATAAGAAAAATTATATGTATATGATAAACTGTAAATAAGTAGTTGAACGTTAAAAAGTTTTATAATCAAAAGCCCGCTCGGAGATACGTTACACAATATAAAGTAAAAACAAATGGTATCTGTGCCAGGTAACTTTTCTTGTCTTGATGCTATGATATCTTTTTCAAAGTGACAAATTAATTAAAGGGAAATACATTAAGGGATATAAAAATTTCATCCTCACTAGTATAAACACAATTCAAAAATAATTATATCATGATGATGATGATAGTAGTTGAAATTAGCACTAAGGAATGACAGCAAAAGAAAAGAAGTAAAAGATTTTTCTGAAGCAAGTAAACATTGCCCATTAGAGATGATTGTTTTGGTTACTAGCCCAACTTGCTTGTATACTTTATTCTTAAATCTTGTTACTGATGATGCTGCTTGAAAAAACATTAACACATCATGATGATGATGACAATGATGATGATAATGATGATGCTGGTGATAACAATAATGATGATGATGATGGTAATGGTGATGCTGGTGATAACAATGGTGATGATGACAATGATAATGACATGATGGTGGTGGTGAAAACAATGATGGAAATGGTGATGATGATGATATCAATGATGGTGATGATGATGATGATGATGATGATGATGATAATGACAATGATGATGATAGCAATGATGATGATGATGATGACAATGATGATGATGATGATGATGATGATGATGATAGTAACATATCTAAAAAAAGGAAATGACTGTTTATAAACAGATGCAACAATTCCTGAGTCATCAAGATAAAACAAGCAAAGGTAAGAATAAAATGTAGTTTTTAGCCAATTGCAACCATTCAAGCTTAAGATCTATACCAACAAACAAAATTCGTTGAATTTATATCCCCCGCCGAGTAGTGGTTACTACTAACACAACAACTGGAGACATTAAATACTTAATTTATTTTCAATTATCAAGGCATGCACATTTCCTTTTCGTATCGATTATTCCAATAAAGTCTTGTTGAAATCAATAGCAGTATTGCTCTTTATGCCTACTGAAAAAACTAATCAAGGGCCATAACGGATCTGACCAGAACAAGGCAATGATATGCGCATCACCCCTTGGTATTTATTGTTTCAATAAAGTTTCATTGAATTCCAGTCAGTAGTTGCAGAGAAGTAGCCCGGAAACAATTATAGGTCAATAAGCTTACAGCAAAAGGCAACATGCATATCTCCTCTTGGTAGTGATGATTCCGATGAAGTTTTGTTGAATTCCAGCCAGTAGTTGCAGAGAAAAAGTGCGAACACCTATATTGCTCAATATGCATACTACATAACTAATCAAGGGCCATAATTCGTCTTGAAGGGTCTGACCAGAACAAGGCTATGATATGCCCATCTCCTCTTAGTATTGATGGTTCCCATTAAGTTTCATTAAATTCCAGACAGTACTTTCAAAGAAATGGCACAGAAACGATAATTGCTCTATATGCATACTGCGCAACAAATCAAGGGCCATTACTCTTAGTTAAAGGGTCTGACCAAAACAAGGGGACAATTTGCGCATCTTCTCTTAGTATTGATTGTTTCCATAAAGTTTTGTTGAACTCCAGCCAGTACTTGCAGAGAAATAGCACGGAAACGATTTTTTCTTTAAATGCATACTGCATAACATATCAAAGACCACTAGTCTGAGTTAAAGGGTTTAACCAGAAGAAGGCAAAAATATGCGAATCTCGTCTTGGTATTGAAGGTCCCCATAAAGTTTCATTGAATTTCAGCCATTAGTTGCAGAGAAATATCATGGATTGATAATATATCTCTTCATGCATACTGCATAAATAATCAAGGGCCATAACTCTGAGTTTAAGTGTCTGACCAAAACAAGGCAATGAAATGCGCATCTTCTCTTGGTAATGAAGGTTCCCAAAAAGTTTCATTGAATTGCAGCCAGTAGCTGCAGAGAATTAGCGCGGAAAAGATTATTGTTCTAAATGCAAACTGCATAACTAATCTAGGGCCATTAATCTGACATGAACAAGGCGACGATATGCGCATCTCCGCTTGGTATTAAATGTTCCCAAAAAGTTTTGTTGAATTCCAGCCAGCAGTTGCAGACCCTCACTAGCGCGGAAACGAAATTAGGACAGACGGATGAACGAACGGACTGACAACCTTAAAACAATATCCCCCTCATGATTCCATCTGCGGGGGATAATAAATATAAAACCCAATATAAATAATTAAATGAATCATTGATGTAATAAACCTTTCCCGGGGGACCCCAGAGTTTTACCGGGTTTTTCTTATAAGTGCCTTTAGAAGGAAAAAACAATTAAAAAGAACTTACTGTTTAAATATAATTCATTTTAAATCAAACCCTTAAATTTGTCACCCCTTTGTGCAGTTTAAAGGTTTTACTCCCTTTTAAAAATCATATAGGAGTTTTCCCGGTCATTGCACTAAGGGGAAAATTTGGGATATTATTAATGGTGTTATCCCCCCAAAATTTAAAAAAGTTAAACCCCCCCCTATCCCCTTTAAAAAGTACAGAATAAAACCCGGCGGGAAATTATAATACATTATTTTAAAATTCAACGACATTGAATGAAATCAAAAACCCAAGAAAACGACTTTTTTGGGAAATTTAAAACAAGTTTTCTCCACCTTTTTAGTTATAAAAAATACTTATTAAAGGGACACCACTGAGGTCTTTTTGACATGACTGGACTGGAAATATTTTTCTCAGATTTGTGTATCATTCGATGTAGGTATGGACCAATAACTAATTTGCAATTTTTCAGCCTGTTATTTCAGAATAATTATTTTTATTGTGAAAAAATGACCAACAAGAGGGCCATCATGGCTCTAAAATCGCTCGCCTTAATATAGGCCCCAAATTTTAAAACCAAAGGTTATTTTCATTGACATAAATATCGAGCTTTAATTTTTCTATTAAACAGATTTAGGGGAAAAAAGTAATGCACCCCCGGGTGGGGCCTACTTTCATCCCAAGGGCTTTTATTTGAAACAAAATTGTTTGTAGAAACGAGCACACTCCCTTGAGAAGGAATCACCCATGCTAATGGTATCAAATCAGCCCTAATTTAGAGGGGTTTTAAAGAAGATGGTTTTTGTAATGGCATCATTTAAACTTATACACAAACAAGGAAAAAACAATGAAAGCCCCCGGGGGGGCCCCAAACTTTAAAAGGGCCCCTTTTTTGTGGGAGCCCCCTTGAGGTGTTTCATGCTTAATATCTTAGCTCGAGCTCTTTGGGTTTTTCAAAAGAAGGCTTTTTAAGGTTTACTATATACATAAAGGGAAAGACAATGACCACTTGGCGCGGGACGAATATTGAGCCCAGGGCTTTTATTTGAACAAACTTTGTAGACACCTACTAGAAGATGTTTCATGATTAATATGTAAGCTCTAGCTATTTGGGTTTTTAAAAGAAGATGTTTTAAGTTTTTACTATATACAAATAAGGCAAAAACAATGACTCCCCGGGGCGGGGCCAATTTTGACCCCAGGGCTTTAATTTGAGCGAACTTAGTAAACACTGACTAGACAATGTTTCATGCCAAAGATTTAAGCTCTAGCTCTTTTGGTTTTTTAAAAGAAGATTTCTTAAGTTTTTTAATTTGGTTGCCATGGCAACCAGAGTTCTGCATGGAATTAAATTCTTTGAACAATTTTTAAAGTTGACTACTAAAGGAACATTACTGTGAAGATTGGATGAAAATGGCTCAGCCATTTATGAGGAGATGTCGTTTAAAGTAAAAGTTAACGGATGGCCGGACGACGGACGAAAAGAGATCACAAAAGATCACCATGTCACTTTGTGACAAGAAAGCTAAAAATAAAAACTCCGGCTAATAATAACACAAAAATTAATTTTGTATAATTATTATAATGAGTTAATTTTTTTGTTGTAATTTGCAGATCTTTCCATTTTGCAAGTGCTTTACTTGATATTTGATTTTTTTTTCTTCAAATTTTATGTTATTATGCCTTTGGACCTCGGTGGAGTTCCTTGAAGGTACAACAAATGCACTTAACATGTTATAACAAAACATTAATTTAATTTTGAATCCATGATGTCAGGATTGTCAATAAAATTTATCTGAGAAAGGTTATTTTTGGTTTTACCACACAAATTTTGAGGCTGTTCAAATTGGCCTGCAGCTGATGCCTAATGACAACGCTGTTAGTACTGAAGGATAAGGGTTTTTCTCTCAACTTACGGCAATTTTCCTCATCGGAACCATCGTAGCAGTCCGTTTGTTGATCGCAATAGTAAGATAGGGTTATACATTCACCATTGTTACACGTCCATTCATCATCACCACATGCCCTCGGTGGAGCATCTGTTACCACTGAAAAAAAAAACAAATGAGCCGCGTCACGACAAAACCAACATAATGATCAGGATCCATGCTGTTCGCTTACAGACCCTATAACAAGTAAAGAAACTGATATTGGTTTTGTCATGACACGGCTCAAATACCAAGAAGGCCATGATGCTTGTCAGGAGAAATGTCTGCCTTGATGTTATTTAATCTAAGGAAAGATTTAGTAATAAATACTAGAAGCAATTTCCAAGATATGGGAGCTGGGCACTGCCGCCTGACATAAAAGTGAAATATTCTCAGTTGGAAAACTAGCATGTAATTGCTTAGTTAACACTATTTTTTTTAGGTATTTTATCTTTTTCTATCTCAAATCAATATATACATTTAAACAACAAACTCTGATTAATATTTACACCCAAAACAAACACACATCATTTATCAACCACTTATACGTAATATCTTTTCACGTATACGTCTTTTATACGAAACAATACTAGACACCTGGCGAGCCCAAGCTCTAAACAACTTATGACCAAACAAAACTATAAAATCACCACAAAATGAAGAACACAAATGAATATTTTTACAACTCTAAGATACAGTATAAACCACAAACATTCATCCAACAATATTAACTTCACATAATCTAATCAGCATCAGAAAACAACTTAAACTAAAGCACCCAATATTTACATATCCTCAAAACAAAGCATCAACTAATATAATCTTGACCAGACAAACATTCAACCAATATCAACCAATTATATCTTCACAAACAGATATAACTCAACAACCAAAACAACTAATTACAACCAAAAAACCCTGATCAATTAAGATCACCACAATTATATTCAACCAACTTCAACAAACCAACAAAACAACAAATTCTCTTCTCAACATAAAAATAAACGCTACACACTATCAGCGTGTCTCTCCTAAACTAACTGATGTAAAATCTCTAAAAACCCCGCATATTTGCTAGCTTAAACGATTTGACCTTTAAACATGTATGCATACAGCGACTGGTTTAAACATGATATTTACACTCTATTTAAAACAATGTATCACTGTAAAGAAATATTAACTCGTTGTTTCATCTACAACAATATATCACTGTAGGGAAATATTAACTCGTTGTAAGATACATATCTACATATAAACTTCATGATTATTCTGAGAATGCTTCAATATCACAACTCAACAAAATTCCACGGTGAGTATAGAAAAACTATTTCAAGTGCAGCAAATGCAGGTCAGTTAAATTCAACTAATCATTTTATCTTCTGCTTTTTAACAGCTTTTTTTAATAAATGTTTTACATTTTTAAGTTTTGCAAAGAAAAAAGACGGTGTGACCTAATCTAACAAGACGTGCAATTTTGACATATCAGTGACATCATTGTGGAATTATGTTCTGCCTATTTTGCTTTCCTTTTTACAAATCATGAACCAAAATCCATTATACCACCTGTTTCAAACAATAACAAATTACTTAATTCATTCAATTGATAATTTTTCATTATTTCATTGGAAAACCAAAATTAAAGTTATCATTTTTTTATTTAAGTTGCATCAAGACTGTAAGTTAAATGGCAATTTTCCAGCTTTACTAGTAAATGAAAACATCAGGTGCCCATCTGTGCATTGTTTTAGTCAGAAGCTGTTCCTGTAGTAGAACCGCTGACATTCTTTAAGACAGCTGGATTGCTTCTTCACATGAAAGAATCCAAAGCAATAGAGATAGGAAGAGCGTCTAAGCATAAAGTGACAGCAAGAAGAAAAAAGAAAAAGAATAATATATGGAGCTGGTAAAAATAGCCAATTTACAGTGATAATTGCTTAAATTACTAGCCATCTTGCTTGTATAATTTATTCCTAAAACTTGCTACTGATGATGATGCTTGTAAAAATATTAACACATCATGATGATAACAATGATTATAATGATGATAATGGTGATGATGGTGGTGGTGATACCAATGATTATGATAATGATGAAGATAATGGTAATGGTGATAACAATGATGATGATGATGATGATGGCAATGATGGTGATGGTGATTATGACAATGTTGGTAATAACAATGATGATGATGAGGAGGATAATAATAATAATAATAATAATAATAATAATAATGATGATGATGATGATGATGATGATGATGAAAATGATGCTAAAACATTGGAGGTAATTGTTTATAAGCAGATGCACATCATTGAGTCATCAAGATAAAACAAGCAAAATGCCAGAATAAAATGTAGTTTATAGCCGATTGAAACCATTCAAGCTTAAGATCAATACCAATAAAAATCCAATATAAATAATCAAATAAATCATTGATGAAATACCTCCTGAGGCACTTAGGAGTATACCGGTATCTCTTAATCAACTGCCTATTAAACAATTGACCGTTGAGGAGCAAAACAAAATTATAAGAACATGTTGATGCCTCTTCACTATATAAATCATAATTCATTCAGACTCACCAAATTTTGTCTTAGCACTAAAGTGACGATTTGTATATTTTTAATGGTTTTATTTACTAGTCATATGTAAAACCTCCCTCCTATCCCTTCAAGGAGTGCAGGTTATACAGGGAAAAATTAAATCCTTTGAAGATTCACGGCTATGTTAGAGACATTAATGTAAAGTCAACAACAGATATATGAACATTTTCTATTTAAGTGGTAGTATTGTGGAGAAATATGAAGAAATATTATTATCATAAATTTTCAAACTTCATGTCATTACATGTTGTACACAATCATATTATGGTGTATACATATATATACATTGTATTATACACACACTAAGAGTAGTATTAGGTAATTTTGAAGATGAAATCTCTTAATTGATATTTTCAGGGAAATAAAAGATCATTTACTCCAATATTCACTTGGAAAGGCTGGTACATGTAGCTAGAAAAAAGTATAAGATTAAAGAAAGACAAGAAGATTATCACAAAAAACAGGTACTTGTACAATATTTGATGTATATTTCACAAATCAAACTGTTTGTCCAAAATTATTCATGAAAACATATGCCTTTTTACCAGTCCCACCACGGGCCAGATTACCAGACGCCAAATATGCTTATTTTTTCCAAGTTTAGAAAAAAATCATAATCGAGTCTAAGTTCCCATTATCAAAGCTGACGAATTTTTTTCATTCAATTCCAATCCAATATGGTACAAGACAGATGATGTTCAAAAACACATTTCATTGTCAGCTTTTTATGTATTTTTATGCTTTGAACGATATACAATTTGTTGGATTAACAACTCTGTACATGGTACTGAATATTTTTCCAAATCAAGATGCAAAATTTCCTAACCTGTGCTAGAAATTTTTTCCCAAAATGTCTAGAAAAAGGCTTGAAACTGAAATATTTTAGTTTGCATTTCTAATCTACATACTGAAATAGTCCAAGACTTATGAAAATAGTTCATATATAGTACAGCCTAAAATAAAAGAGTGTCAGTGCATGCTCACAGTTTATTATAGTGTTAGTTAAGAACATACTTTAAATATTCTGTCAATTGGCATTAAGATACTGCCCCTCACAGTCTTTTTCCTTTGCTGAAAATGATCACTTACATGAAATTCCATAGTATGGTGTTTTAAGGTAGTACAAATCAATTCTACTGGGCATTACAAGGAACTGCAAAATTTACAATACAGTTTTGTTGCCTTGAACAAGACCTCAATATGTATATAAAATTTACAATACAGCTCCTCCTTATGAACTTTGTTTACATTTTGATTATACAAGATTGAAACATATGAAAATATTTAACTGCAAAGCATAGCTGTGAAGTGATTGTTTCTCCACCAAATGGTTTAGATATGTATAAAAAATGTTTCCCTACCCTTGATTGATCATTTTTCTGCTAATGTGTGCCTCAATTGCTAAGATCTGCTTTATTTACAGGCTGTTTTTAAAGTTTGAAGGAATAATCTTTGAAACATTCACATTGGTTATTAAAGGAACTCCACTGAGGTTTAAAAGCCGAAAAACATAACATTTGAATTTCTTACATAAATGAGCTGTTGCACTTTAAACAGAAATATATGCAAAGTTAGTTAAGAAATATCTTGAAATAAATTGAAAATCGTATTTTTATGCTTTTCTTAGTCCAATTTGAGTGAAAAGCGTTTAAACGCTTTTCATTTTGGATCATTTTTTCACAATTTGAATAATAATATTCTGGAAAAAATGAAGTGCGCGGATGATCTGAAATTTTGCACAAAGATTAGTGGTCTAAGCCTACATCAAATGGTACATTTATCTGGAAAAAATATTTTCAGTCCCATCATGTCAAAAAACCTCAGTGGAGTCCCTTTAAACTAGCCATTATTTACATTTATTTGTAGCCAATAAATAATTATACCTTTAAATTGTATGCGGTCTAAACAAATAAATTGTATACTGTCTGAACATATGTGACAGAAAAAATATCACAAAAAAGGAATTAATTATTACTTTGAGTATTTATTAAAGAAATTGTATTTCAAATATATTAAAATAGTGTTAGGAAAGTCATTTTGTATGACATACAAACAAATCTAGTGCTCTGCATTACAAATGTAAGAAGATACAAATAAGATAAGCATTTTTTTGCAAATTATTGCACTTCAAATAAATGTCAATGCATTTTTTTAAGGTGGACATGCGTCACTATCAAGAACATCAAGATTACCATCACAGTCTGTGGAAATCTCCAGTTTCCAGATGTAGTGATCATAACTGTATAGGCACCATGAACACTTGGGAATAGTTGGACTATTTAAGAGGGGAAGTCTGAGTTAGCACTTCAGTTGAATCCCCTGTCAATAATAAAGGGCCAGTCATGAACATTGTGTTGAAGAAAAATATTAAATTTAGTTGTTTTGGCTTCAAACAAAACCATCACACTTACCCAGCAGTGATAAATTAAATCAATTGTGATATTTTGACTGATTTTTACCAAAAGTTTCCATGATGAATTGAATCTCCTGGGACTTGTGTAACATAAGACTGCGCAT